TTTAATTTTAACAAAGAGTATATATTAGAGTAATATTATATTTCTAAAAATACTTCACTTTGGTCACCAAAAACCTCCGAAAAACTCAACTTTCGTTTGGTCGCCTAAAACTTCCGAACAACTTAACTTTCGGATTTGAAAAAAAATTAACGATGGTTCAGAATCATTTAAAGGGTGCACAATAATTATATCAAGGAGTCTGAAGTCAATGTAGCTTTATTTTCAATTTTATATTATTTTAGTTTAGATCTTATCTTGGGAAAGTCTGTCTTCTAAGACACCAATGTAAACAAGAGAGGCTTCCATTCACAAACAGTGCGCATTGATACCACAATGACTAGACGATCCATTCTTTTGAGTCCATTCATTAAACAGGTACCCAGCTAGTAATAATAGTAAGTAACAATAATAATTGCAATTAATGTAGCACACATCCATGTTCTACACCATTCTCTATGCTCTTTACAACTATCATTACCCCACCAGACCCTCTGAGAACACTCAGAAACATTCTCGGTGTCCGGGGAAGCATACAGTGCAAGCTGCGGATTTTACCCATTCAAACTCAAACATAAAAAAACTGACAGGATCTTTCCCTGTCTATAGCCGGGTACACATTTCCACCTGGGTGAAGTGAGGAAAATTGGTGTAAAGTGCCTTTCCCAAGGACACAATCTCGGGCCCCTGATGTGATTCAAACCCACAACCCTTGTGGTTGCGAGTCCGAGAGCCTAACCACTAGGCCACCTCCCTCTTTGGCTCAATGCCTCAAACAAAATCCTGTACTTTATCAAATACTTAATGGACTTGTCAGACATTCAAACACATTTTAAAAAAATGTTATTGAACTCAACTGTATGGCTTTAATCATTTGACGGGTACAAGGAAATGAAAATGTCTATCACATAAGTCTCAGCAATCTTTGAAGCATTTTTTGGGGGTAAGTCTAAGGAGTACATAGAAGAAAGACGTGTTGGTTAATTCAGCATGATGTTAATTACTTTATCTCTTCTCTCCCTCGCGTTCTGCACAGACCGGTTCCAAACTGCTCAACTACCAAAACTCATTCAGGACATATTCATGTAGTTAATGTGGTAATCAATTACAAATCACTGGAAAGGTTACTTAATATTAATGTCACAGATGTTCGAAAAAAAAGCAGCAAAAGAATGAAATTCTTTTTTTAAAAAAACCAACTAATGGAAAAAAAAAGAACCCTGTTCAAATTGCCAATGTGTACCCTTGAAGTTACCAATAACATATCGATGATACCTGTGAGAAAAGTTACTGACCATGACC